GCCATGAACGTGGTGGGATGGGAGTTACTGTGTGTTCACCCACGGCCTGGGACGTTGCTTTCTCTCAGGGTTGCCACTTCCCCAGAGCCCAGGGCTCTCTGCATTCAGTGTTCAGAGGATAAAGTTCTGCTGCAACAGTCCATTTCCCCCCCCTTCCCACTCAGTTGCCAAGCCTGAACAAAACAAGCCCTGCCTCCACCCGAGACAGGCTCATTACGTCTGCCGGCAGCCTAAACAGATTATCCCTCCTGCCACGCGCTCCCAGCCAGGGCTCTCTCCCGGCCATGGATGCGGACGTTCCTCACACCACAGTGGGATGGGTGAGGGCTGGCTGAGGGGGCATCCCCAGACCCCTAACAGGGATGTGGGTGCTCTGCCATGGGGCTGACTCTGGACCTTAAACTAGATGATCTTGAGGTCCTTTCCAACCCTAACTATTCTGTGAGTCCCTGTGGATGTCAGTAAAGCTTTGCTGTTCTGCTGTGTGAACTCTTGCAGGGCACTGTGTGGCTGGTTGGTGTGCACGAGGGAGGGAAGAGGTGAAGGTACCACCAGCAAACACTGCAGATGTAAAAGCCTGTCCAGTGATGCTGGTTGGTGTCACAGCCCACCTTTGGCCCTGTGCGCTGTCACGCTCCCGTGACCTGTCCTGTCCACTGGAAGGTGATGACCATGCCTTCTCTGCCCTGGGGATGTGCAGGGATTCCTGTATCACCCCACACTTTGGGAAGCGCTGTGTGGTTGTGCATATTCTTTAAGCCCAGTCCCCGTGCTGCTGGGAATCACGTTCCCAGTGCTGGTGGAGCTGCCTGGGGTGGTTTGGCCGTGCCTGGGCAGCATCAGCGCAGCAGCCTGACAGCTTTGTGTAAACGGAGCTGGGGCCGCTTCCTTCTCCGCTTCCTTCTCTGCTTCCTCCCACCCTCCGTGCTGCCAGCACCAGCCTGGGCTGCTCGGCTGGTCCTCCCCTTGATGCAGCACAGGCCAAGGAGGTGATGTAGTGGTGGGACAGCGACCTGAGAGGCAGGCGAGGGGCTGCGGAGCAGCAGGATGGTGGCACGCCCTGGAGCTACGCAGCGCCGGGCAGGATCAGAGGCGGGATGGGATACCTGGGCGTTCCCAGAGGTGCGACAGGAAGCGGAGCGGTGACGAAAGGGTGTTTCTGCCTGAGTCAGCCTCTGCTGATCCCATAGGATAGGACACAACCGGGCACTGTGGGGCTT